TTCCAAAATAGTAATTTTTAAAATATACAAAGAATACACATTAAAGCGACACCATCTGGAACACCTTCTGTTTGGAGCTTTTTAGAGCAAAAATGCTCTGTATGTGGAAAATATTATTGCAATATTTTTCTGTCTAAAGACACTCATTCTATGCATATAGAGAAAATTACCAAAAGACTAAAAAATATTTTTAAATAGTGACTGTATACAGTGGATGATTATCAATTTATGAACTTTTCCAGTTCAAGGGGTTCTTTCTCCTTGCCTTTAAGAAACATTAATATATTATAGCACTTTAATCAAAGGTAGAAAAAAACAGGGGAAAAGATGTGAAATTAAGTCATTAAATTTATTTATGATTTTCAATTCTGGTTCAAGCTGTTACTAGCTAAAAATAAAGGTTAAAACTTATAGCTGGTTGGTTTCTCTATCTTTCAATTATTCACACTATCGCTATATGCCATCAACACAAATAACTGGAAGTTGTTTTGTTTCTACAAACCACAATTTTATCTGTCATTGACAAATCTACCACAATCTATCTTGCCTTATAGTCATTATTCCCCAAGGGGCTAATAGATCAAAAGAGATGAAAAAGAGGGCAAGCAATGAAATTCTCTTATTTTGACATGGTATTGAAACAGCTCTTCAACAATCCCAGCTATAATTAAGTAGCTGTGTTTGAGTCCTGGGAGAGAAGTACATATTCCCTCCCTTGGTAAATGACATTGCTATTCATACAGTCACCCGGGCCAAAAACTCAGGAGTCATCCTTATGTATTAGTTTGCAAAGCAACTGAAAAACCATCAGACTGGTTCCTCTCTTGACAGTCCACTACCAGATCGAAAAAGCTACCAACATCTAAAACTATCTATCAGTCCCTCTCTTCTTGCTGTTATAATTGAGGGACCTTACTCTCTTGCTTGTCCTCTTATTCCTTCAATCTCTCCCTTTTTACATCTCTTTTCTATCAACATTTAAATGTGCACAATTTCAAACCATTTTACAATAAACTGCACACATATTTCTTTCCTGGGTCAAATCCCTTACCACTTTTATTCACACTCTTGACCTCCCTTCTCTCTCTTCTTCCTTTAGTTAGGCAGCAATTGCATGGATATACTTTTTTGGTTCTAATAAAATAACAATTCTTAAGTTTTCTAATAAACATTTTTATTTTCTAATAAATGCCAAAATTTTAAATTCTAGTAACTTATATGATATATCCACACTCCTGGGACATTTGTTGACTTCTTGAGAATGATCTGTACAGAAGTATTGGTGAATTAATATTTAGTGCTTGTTTAAAAAAAAAAATCTTTAGGTTAAGTTACGAATTGACCTTATCTTGATTTCAAAATGGTTTATTTTCCTCAAAACCATATAGGCACTGGAAGACTGTTTAAGTACTTAAAATAGTGCCTGGCTCATGGTGAGTTCTACATACACTGTCAGCATTGTATCATTACTGTTCTCAGATTATTATTGACTTGGAGAAAACAGGAAAAGGAATTAAACCTGGGATAAATATATTGCTTTTAAATGGTGTATATTTTATGGCAACTATTCGAACATTTAAAGAAAATAATTAGGTTTACCCCTGTTTTTCTCCTACTCCCATGTTGGCACATGCCTTACCCTTCACTTTCATAAAAAATGCTTTCAACATAATGCTAGTAACGCCATGTAGATAAAAACTTTTAAATTATTATCAAAAACATGATTAAGAATCTGTGACCATTATTTTGAATTTCCATTAGTTTTCCACTATTCCATGAACTGAGGAGGTAATTGTACTACAAATGGATTCCACCCCCTGATTCCTGCAGTCCAGGAGAAAGGAAATATGTACAAAATAACAGAACATCTAGTCTTCTGACTTCCATATCTTGCTTTCATAAGGGAGTGCACTGCATGCAGTGAGCACTAAATAAAAATTCATCAAATTGAATAATTCTAATCTGTGTTTGCTACATTTTAATTAAAATCTATGTACCACTAGTCAAAACCTTCATAGATTAAAATGGTAGAAAAACACCTTGACTACAGTCACGTGATAAAAAGTAAATAAAAATGAATATAATACATTCAACCATCAAGTTGATACTTGTCTATTTGTTTAGGAACCTAAGCTCTGTAAGCTCAGATACCAAGTCTGTATTGTTGACTGTTTTTTTTTTCCCCTTGCAATGGAAGTACCAGGCAGCAGGCATTCCATAAATATCAATAGATGACTATAAATCTGCATTTTTGGTAGTATTTTAATACCATGATATTATCTATACATAATGCTACCTTATTATTTTTCTGATCACATAGTTAATGGCATTCTGACAGTACAGTGAAATCATCATCTGGTACCAAAAATGAGAATCTAAAGTATCATTAACCATCATAATCCCAGAAAGAAGTAAGTGAAAGTATAAGTCCATTTAACTATACCTATAAGTTAAAAATCATACTCTGACATAAATATCTAATCAGCAACATGCATGCTGACTAAAGCTGTTGATGTTCTCACATGAAGCTGAAGTAAACACAGGTTCAGGTAACTGTCGAAAGTCATTACCCTTGTCACCAGCAAGAAAAATAACCAGAAGGAAGGCTGATTTACCTATATTTTTATATGATTACCATATATGTTTTGCAAATGATCTTGCATTGTTATAGAGCTAAACATGCTGAATCAGTGCACTTAAGGAATTTTTTTTTAAGCAAATGACAAGAAATCAAAAAAAAAAACAATTTGTTCAAGAAACTTTATGGTTCTTAATGTTCTGATAGGTTCCTAGCTGCTCCTTCCCAGCTCCTTTGCTTATCATCATCTTCCAGACCTTTAAATATTAGAGGCACTGAGTCTGAACCCTCAGCTCTCTTTTCTATCTATACTACATGTCCTTGGCCAAATAACATCAGTGTGCTGATGACTCCCACATTTATATCTACAGATATAACATCTCCAATTCATTCCAGATTTGCATATCCAACTGCTTACTCATCAGCTCCACTTTGTTAA